ACAACGTCGAATCGATCGATTCGATTTACCGACGAGACATGAAGAACAGGGGAGGTAGGGCTGCTTATATTCGAAGACTTTTCGAACGGACGAATACTAATAGCGAAAATTTCTTTCTTTTTCGTGTCGAAAGTCGAAACATGGAGAAAGAATAGCGGATCCGTTAGACTTGCTCCACGGCATGTATAATAGAACGTGTGTAGTTAAAAAGAAAACACATTGCCTATGCATTACGTGAGAAAGGGTGCGCGAAAGGGTGAGAGAGAAAGAAAGGTAGAACGAGCGAGTGGGAGGGAGTGAGAGCGAGAAAAAAAATAATGTTGTTTGTAATATCTGTACATACAAATTTCAAGTAAAGTATCTTATTTTCTTACAAACTATATAGCGGTGACATTTAAACGAAGAATACTTAAGATTTTGTTGTAATATTAAGTATTTATTCAGAATTCATGTTGTCCCAATATAGTTTGCTTTATGCACTCGTCTTTGGTGTATCGAAGGATGAAAATGAAAAGTAACAAACAAAAAAGTATCGTTTTTATACAAGCTTAGGAGTAAAATAATTGTAGTAATTTACTCTCGACCGGGAAACAAACGATGGGGTGGGGGCAAGGTGAGAGAGAGAGGAAGAGAGAAAGATAGATACAGAGAAAGAGAGACAGAGCGAAAGAGTGTGCGTGAGAAAAAGAGAAAACGTGAGTGCGAGAGGCCAACCTGCGAAACGAAGGAGCAACAGTGAACGAAAAAAGTGTTGATAGAACAAAGGAGACTAAATAAATAAGAAGAAAGAAAATGTGGAATAGGAAGTAGACTAATCGAGTCGCGCGGTTGTCCGCCATTTTGGTTCCTCCGTGTCTATGGCGGGTGCGGCCGAGAATTCGTTTGTTCATGATCAGGCACTAGAACTGCGTGAAACGCTGGGATTTCGACGACACGAAGAACCCACGTACGTCACTCGCTCTTTCTATCGCGATAATTCGTCTTTTTTATACGTTTATAGAGCCATTAACAATTTAACAAAAAACAATTCGAACGTGAACAGCCGGAATCTCGGCCGGCAGCGCGCAGATGAATATGAAGAACGATGCTATGAATTTCAAGTCACACACGAAGATTCACCGTTGTCATCGACGATTCATCGTATCTTAATCGATCGCGAACCCGCGGACCACCTGGACACGAAGGAGACAAGATTTTCGAATGACCGCACGTGTTTCGCGACGATGAGTGATGCGTTTTTTCGATTTTTTACCGAGTGAACGTTGATCAATTCGCCAAACAATAAACCACCGATTAGAATACGGCGGCGTTCATGGATCAGAAAGGTCAGTCTGGAGAAGTTTGCTAACGAACGCAGGTAATTGAGGGTTTAGGTGATACGCTTCTTTCGTTTTACGATTTAAAGTAGCACTTTATTGGGGCCCAGATGTACATTCGTCTATATCACGTCAATAAATCTGGCAGCAAAACAAATCGATGGATTCATTCGATTAGTTCTAAGAGGCAACTACCGCGGGAAACGTCCGAAGGATCGTTTGATCTGTTGAAAATGTTCTTTAGTTTGAGGATCTCTAATTGTTTCTTGAATCTCTTAACGGATCGAATGAGTATTTTTTTCCAAGCCACGAATCATTGGTCACAAATCATTCTTATTTCACATACGTGATTAGACTGCGTACATTTATGCAGGTCCATTTCATAAATCAATCCAAAGTTATCTATTTTATTTCTCTAGAGATTCATGATCTTACAGATCGTGTAAAAACGTTATCAAACATCATATAAGTTTCTCATTGTAATACGTTTTAACACTTGTATAACTCGGGATCGCATAAAGAGCGCAGTCTACTTATTCTTGATTCGACAATTGCTCATTGAAAAAATTGTCTTTCACTGTAGCATTCATTTTTATGGTTTTTTGATTATTTTCTCGATCCTGAGACGCTTCCTGCCATTGGGATCAACGAAGATCACATTCACGAAGTCAATATTCTGAATTATTTTAATTGCGCACCCTTTCGTTTAATCATTCTTCGATGATTATTTGCCTTTTCAATCATAACGAATCGCCGCGAAGGGAATATCCCGCGATCTAGGATCTCGAATCTCTACCGTCCCCGAAACGTGCAATGCTAGAAGTTAGAGAAACTAATTTTCCACGGAGCCGTTCGAGTCTCTTGCGCAGAAACTCGAAGGAGAGGTCGAGGATCGCGTCGTTTCCAATCCTCCTGAGGAGGAGCCGTTCACCCTGTCGGAGCCGAGTTGCGTTCGTTACAAACGTCCCGGACTTCTTTCTAGTCCCCTGTCGTTCGATCAATAATTACTTCTTTCGTTTAATAGTATTTAACAGCACGGACATTGAAAGAAATCCTATAGTTGAGAAATTGTAACTATCACCAATGAAATAAACGAGAAAACAGAAAAGTCGATACAAAAAAAAAATAGAATTATTTAACAGAATTATTTCAAGTTCAATTACGGCTCGATCTTAAAATTACCATTCTCAACGCGCAGCAGTTTATTGTTATCAACTCGTTATTGCTACGATTCGTATGAATCTCCATTTTTTTATTTATTTCTTCACGCAAATCGGAGTGAAATTTTATTTTGATCTCGACTAGAGTCTTCTGTTTCATTGTCACTCCG